TGAGACAGTCATTGAATATTTTTGACAATGGGGCTGAAAGGGTACCCGCACATGCTTTGACTACTACTGTTGATAGTTCATCAGGGCCCGATGATTTATTCAACTTAGTTTTTAGTAGCTGTTTCAGGACTGTGGCGGGTTCGATAGTTGGTGTTGGCATAGAGCTTACTAAATCTGGTAGGGTAGTGCACCGTGAAACTGGACTAAACTCAGAATTTAGTCTTTCAATATCGACAGTTTCCTTTTTGTGTTTACGGTTACTGCCACACAATCGGCTGATAGACCTCCACATGCCACGATAACTAGAGTTTCCCAGGATAGTGTCGATGTACAGTTTGTTCAACCGATTTATTTCAGCTTTGATCAAAATTGTTAGCCGCTTGACATGGATTTTTTGTCCTTGTTTGTAGGCTTGTTCTTTCCGCCTGCGTAACTGCGGTGATGAGTATCTGTCTTTGTGGATAAAGACCGTTTCTAGTGGACAACACTGGTTAAAACAGAAATTAAGGTAGTCCGTAACATGTTCACAGAGGACAGAAGGGTTTTGATCGGGAAGCACCGAAAAATCAGTGGCGGCAATCATGGATCTTTCTAGGTTCTCTGATGAACAGTTTCTTTGACTCACTATTTGTAAGGCCTTCTTAAAAATGTGTATCGGTTGTTTTTGCTGTACACAGTGAGACATACTTTTAAGATACAATGATCTGAACTGCTCAGGGGAGCGCGTTTCTGGACTTGAAAAATTGTGGTCTGTTTGTGAAAACGAAATCAAGCTAGGAATTCAATCTGGTAGGAAAAGTACTAAAGTTTGTAGACCCAGCGTGGTGAGGAATGTTACATGTCTGTTGAAATCACCAACAAATATACACAAAGTCACTTGTTTTTGATATTATGAAGGTAGAAGAAATGTCAGAAAAGCTATTTATGTCAGCAACTGATAATGTGGGTGACAGGTAAAAGTTTCCAAAAAGGATGGAATGAAACCCACTAAATAAACGGGGCTTACATTCGATGACATGACAACTGATTTTAACCGTTGAGTATTCGTAAATGACAGCAGTTGATTTACTCCAGTTTTCGCTGACGTAACTTGCAACACCACCCCGTTTACGGACACTAGTACCGTTGGATGTTAGTTGTCTTCAGGATAGAAACAAAAGTGATCATATTTGGAAATGGAATAGCAAGAGCTGCATAATACGTACCGTTAACACCTGGCTTATTTCACGCTGCTGGATAAGAATACAAAGAATACAAATACAAACGACAGCGAAACGTTACTTTCATAATCCCAATAGAACATGTGATTTGAACCCACAATTCAGAGGGGAAAAAAAGCATTTTGTACATGCATAAATAACTAAGTTTCGGCATCACAACTCCCGTTTTTCACATAGTGAAATCGAATTGTACTGCAAACTGTTAACCTGCTCGCACTAAGTTCAATGTTGGGCAAAATTACTGCCATAACTACCTTTTCAACGTCCACATAGTACATAGTATTGAATAAAGACTAAGGACAATGTTCTAACTTGAAAACCTGCTAAACCTAATTATGTATACGCATGAAAATAAGCCATATTCGTTGATAACAAAATCGAAAGAACCTCAATTTGTCGTATTAGGCTATGGAATGTGACGATTGGTAAATCAAACGTAATCAACGTGACAAACTTCAAAGAAGTTAAGCCAATTTGAATCAGTTACGCACATTCTTATTTTATTCAAAATTTACTGATTTCAGTTTTGGGAAGTTATTTCTGACGAACATGGTATCGACCCAACTGGCACTTATCATGGTGATTCCGATCTACAACTGGAACGAATCAATGTGTATTACAACGAAGCAACCGGTGGTAAATATGTCCCGCGAGCCATTCTCGTCGACTTGGAACCTGGTACTATGGATAGCGTACGAGCCGGTCCTTTCGTGCAA